CAACGCAGATACAGATGTCCGGATATGCAATTCGGACAACACGACCATTAGGCGGTGCAGGTGTTATTGCCACTGTGATGAACGATGATCCATGACTTGTTCTGTGAGTTATTTTGTGCACGTTAACGCCAGACATCCTTAAATATCACACGTATTGAAGATCTGGTATTACCAACCAATTACTGGTCTCGTTATAGTCATTATGGCGGACGCTATTGTTATTGTCGATGGTGTTACTCCTATTATCAATTATCCTGCTGTCATTATCCTCTTTGTCATCATTATCTGCTCTTCACACTCGCATACATACTGTTCACATATACTGGAGGGTCCTTCACCATTCTTAAATTCCTTGTTCGGTGTTCACGATATTTTGTAATGGGATACCGTTGTTATTGTGTCCTTCGCTGTGGGTTTATTTCTCTTTGTCTCTTTGACGTACTCTCTCTCTCTCTCTCTCTCTCTCTCTCTCTCTCTCTCTCTCTCTCTCTCTCTCTCTCTCTCTCTCTCTCTCTCTCTCTCTTCTCTCTCTCTCTCTCTCTCTCTCTCTCTCTCTCTCTCTCTTCTCTCTCTCTCTCTCTCTCTCTCTCTCTCTCTCTCTCTCTCTCTCTCTCTCTCCCCCCCCCTTCTCTCTCCTCTCTCTCTCTCTCTCTCTCTCTCTCTCTCTCTCTCTCTCTCTCTCTCTCTCTCTCTCTCTCTCTCTCTCTCTCTCTCTCTCTCTCTCTCTCTCTCTCTCTCTCTATCTATCTCTTCTCTATCTTTCTGCTCTGTTTCTTCTCGCTCGCGTTTTCACTCGCTCTCGCTTTCGCTCTCACTCTCGCTCTCGTTTTTTCTTTCTCTGTCTCTCTGTCTTTCTATCTATCTGTCTGTCTGTTTGTCTGTCTGTCTGTCTCTGACTCCCCCCCCCCCTCTCTGTCTGTCTGTCTCTCTCTTTCTTTCTCTCTATCTCTATTTCTCTTCGTCTCTCCCCCCCCCCCCTCTCTATCTTCTCTCTCTCTCCCTCCCTCCCTCCCTCCCTCCTCCCTCCCTCCCTCCCTCCCTCCCTCCCTCCCTCCCTCCCTCCCTCCCTCCCTTCCCTCCCCCCCTCCCTCCCCCCCTCTCTCTCTCTCTCTCTTCTCTCTCTCTCTCTCTCTCTCTCTCTCTCTCTCTCTCTCTCTCTCTCTCTCCTCTCTCCTCTCTCCTCCCTCCTCCCTCCCTCCCCCCCTCCCCCCCTCCCCCCCTCCCTCTCTCTCTCTTCTCTCTCTCTCTCTCTCTCTCTCTCTCTCTCTCTCTCTCTCTCTTCTCTCTTCTCCTCCCTCTCCCTCCTCCCTCCCTCCCTCTCCTCTCTCCCTCTCTCTCTCTCTCTCTCTCTCTCTCTCTCTCTCTCTCTCTCTCTCTCTCTCCTCCTCCTCCTCCTTCCTCCCTCCCTCCTCCTCCCTCCCTTCCCTCCTTCCCTCCCTCCCTCCCTCTCTCTCTCTCTCTCTCTCTCTCTCTCTCTCTCTCTCTCTCTCTCTCTCTCTCTCTCTCTCTCTCTCTCTCTCTCTCTCCTCCCCCCTCTACTCTTCTTCTTCAGTCCCTTGTCTCTTTCCCTCTTTCATCTTCCCTTTCTCAACTCTCTTCCTCCCCCACCCCCGTCCCTCCCTCCCTCTCTCTCTTCTCATTTCCTCTCACTGTGTCTCTTTTTTCTCTCACACATTCTCCTCTCTCTTTCCCCCCACAATCTATCTCTTCCTGCCTCCTTCGTTCTTCACCTTCACCACTCGCACTCTCCTTCCTTCCTTCCTTCCTTCCTCCCTCCCCCCTCCCTCCCTCCCTCCCTCACTCCCTCTTGCCTCACTCCGTCCCTCTTCTTCTTCACTCGTCCACCCCCCATACACACACCCCTCTCTCTCCCTCCCCGCCCTCTCTTCCTCTTCTCTCCCTCCCCTTCCCTCCTTCACCCTACCACTCTCCTCTCCCTCTTCCCTCTTCCCTCCCTCCCTCCCTTCTTCTTTTCCCCTCCCTCCCTCTCTCCTTCATCCTCCCTTCCTCTTCTCCCCTCCCCCTCCCCCTTCCCCCTCCCTCCCTCCCCCCACAAACATTCCTCAAAAGAATAGCGAATAACCGGCACAAGATGAGATAATGAGGGTAATAACAACACAAAATGAAGAGAGTTGATTCACAACTTCCGGGGGAAAAAACAAAAACAAACATGGCGGCCATTTTTGTTTTCCTTTTTTTCCCAATTCACTTTTGGCGATGTTTTGTGAAAGTTCTCGTTATCGATTTGGCAGTTATTATCGTGTGTTGTTGTTGTCATTCTTATTACTGTTGTAGTTTTTTGTGTTCTTGTTCCGACTGTTGTTGTTTTGTTACTACTACTATTATTATCGTTATTATCATCACTTCATCATCATCTTCATCTTCATCTTCATTATCATCATCATCATCATCATCATCATCATCATCATCATCATCATCATCATCATCATCATCACCATCACCATCATCATCACCATTATCATTATCATAAATGTGATTGTTATTATTACTATTATTTTTATTATCATTATCGTTACTCTTATCACTATCATTATCCATTGAGGCTATTTTATTGTTGATGTTTAAATTACTGTTATTATTACCAATGATAATTAATGTCATTGTCACACCGTATCATTATCACTGATATATTGTCATCAGATCACCATTTTAATGAATACTGTGTGTGATAGATAATTAATTAGTGTTTATTAGTTTATTAATTTTCTTTTTATCATGTTTGTTACTTTTGTTTGTATTTATTTTTTTTTTTTTTTATGATTTTCGTTATTTTTTGGTATGTATATTAATAATTTGTATTTTATGTTGTTTTGCATATTAATGAACATTTATTACATATTTGTTAAAAAAAATGTATGTTAATATTCTTTCATATTTTGAATTATTTCGTTTTCTATCTTGTTTTGATTTTTTTTATTATTATTTCATCTTTTATTGTTTTGTTTACTTATTTATTTATTTTTAAATCCTATTTCAAACTTTCTGTTCTCTTTCTTTCATTGTTATTTTATTATATTCTTTCTTTGATATTTGTTGTTTTATTCCTATTTCCCTCTTTCTTTAATTCTATCCTATTTATTTTCTCTGTTTCTTTTATTTTTATCTTATTCTGATAAATTATCTCTTTTATCTTTATCTCTTGATTCCCATTTCTCTTTCTCTTTTATTCTTATGTTCTTTTATTTCACTTTCTCTTTCATTTTTACATTATTTTATTCCGCTCTTTCTTTAATAGTGACCTTTTTTATTCCCATTTCCTTCTTTCTTCTATTTCTATCTTATTCTATGTAACTCTTTCACTATTAATGTTCATATTTTATTCCCATTCCTTCTTCCTTTAATTTTTATCTTAATTTATTCCCCACTTTCTTATATATTTATCTTTTGATTCTCATTTCCCTCTATCTCTTCTATTTTTTCTCATTTTATTTAACTCTTTCATTATTAATGTTCATGTTTTATTCCCATTTCCTCTTTCCTTCATGTTTTATCATTTTATTCCCATTCCCTCTTTCGTTCATATTTATCATTTTATTCCCATTTTCTCTTTCCTTCATTTTTTTCGCATTTCCCTTTCTTATTTTATTTCACTTTCTCTTTTATTCTACCCTTCACGCGACTGTTCGTGTGTGGGCGGAGCTTTCTACCGCCCACGTGTGCGTTTGGGCGTGTACGTGAGCGTGAATATATGTGTGCGTGGGTGTGTGTCTGTGTTTGTGCTCGCGTTTGTTGTTATGTGTGTGTGAGCGTGTGTTACTTGTGTCTGTTTGTTTGTTGGTGTGTGTGTGTGTGTGTGTGTGTGTGTGTGTGTGTGTGTTGTGTGTGTGTGTGTGTGTGTGTGTGTGTGTGTGTGTGTGTGTGTGTGTGGGTATGTTTGTGTGTGTGTGTGTGTGTTTTTGTGTATATGTGTATGTTGTTGTCTGTGTGTTTGTACGTGTGCGTTTGTGTATGTGTGTACGTGTTTGCATTTATATAATGACTTACATCTATATGCGTCTGCAAGTACCCAATAAAAAAACTACTCATGCGTGTGTGTGTGTATGTACGTATGCACACGTGTGCGCATGTACGCTTACACGCACGTGCGAATGAATCAACTCGCAATAAATTAGAAAATCACACAGAGCTCGTTCTTTTTACTGTCGCTTCCGCCGTTTGTTTCCCCTTTCGTTCTCGTTTCGCGTTCTCTCTCTCCGTTTTTTCTCGTTTTTTTCTCTTCTCTTTTCGTTGTTTTTTTCCGGTTTTGTTTTTTTCGTTTTTTTTTTTGGTTCGTTTTCTTTTTTCTTTTTTCATGTTTTCCTCTTCTTTTTTTCGTTTTTTTGTTTTTGTTTTCGTTTTTCTTCTTTTTCGTGTTTATATATTTTTCGTTTTCGTTCTCTCTCCCTTTTTTATTCAGTTTTTCCTCCTTTCTTTTCTTTGTCGTTCTCTCTTATTTACGCGTTTTCCACCTCCTCTTCCTTTTTTCTCTTTCCGTCCTTCGCCATCTCCTCTTTCTCTCCTTGTTTTCCCTTTCCTCCTCCTGTTATTCCATTCTCCTTTTACCTCTTTCCTCCTCCTCTTCTACCTTTTATTCCATCTCACCCCTTCTCCACTTCCTTCCCCTGTTCCACTTCCTTCTCCTTTTATTCTTATCCCCCTCTTCCTCCTCTTATTCCATCCTGCTCACTTTTCTTCCTCCTCCTTCGCCTTCTCCTTTGATTCCATCCTCCTCCTCTTCCTTTTTTTCTTTCTCCTTCTCTTCCTTTCCTTTCTCCTTTTATCCTCTTCCTCCTCCTCCTCCTCCCTCCTCCTTTCTTCTCCTCTTATTCCACCCACCCTCTTATCCTCCTCCTCCTCCTTCCTCTCCTTCTCCTTGATCCATCCTCCTCTTTTCTCCCCTTCTCTCTTTCCATCCCCCTCCTCTTACTCCACTCTCCTCTTCGCCCTTTCTTCCTCCTCTTCTCTTATTCCTTCCCCTTCTTATCCTCTTTCTTCGCCTTCTCCTCTTATTCCATCCCCTCTTATCTTCGTTCTCCTCCTCCCCCTTCTCTTCTTATCCCCACCTCTTCCTCTTATCCTCCTCTCTCTTCTTCTCCCCCTCCT